CGGAACACTCGCTCCCTCTCGCTCTCTCTCTCTCTCTCTCTCTCTCTCTCTCTCTCTCACCGAGCCCCCTGGGCTGCCGGACGGCGTCGCTGCGCCGCTCGGGAGAGTGGGGCCCTCATCTCCGTCGCTCGACGCACACACACGCGCGCGCCCGGAGTGGGGCAGATCGTCGTTGCGTTCGCTGCTTGGGGATTTAGTGGTTAGGGGGGGGGGGAGACGGGACGACGGCGAAGTGTGAGTGAGTGCGTGCGTGCGTGCGTGCGTACTTGTGCGCGCTAGTGAGTAGTGAATGTGTGTGCGTGTGTGAGAGAGAGTGTGAGAGAGAGGGAGCGTGAATACGAGGGCGAGAGGGAGGGGGATAGAGAGAGAGAGAGAGAGAGAGAGAGAGAGAGAGAGAGAGAGAGAGAGAGGGACAAGGACAGAACAGAAGAATCGAGCGCAATGCAGCTCAGTCCCCGACGCTCGCGTGCGCGTTCGTGTATAGGAAAGGAGAACGGAGGAGAAAATAGGTGCGCGGCTCGCGAGCGTTGTTGCTGCCGCTGTTGTTCTCTTGTCGCTGCCACGACGGCGCCGCGTTGACTCTCTGCCAGGGTACAGAAGAGGATAAGGACGATCGACCAAGGCCGCCGGCGACGTAGCTGCGCCACGGGCCACGGACTTCCTTTCCTCGGCACTCGACGGTCGCGCGTCTCCTGCCCACGTCCCTCCTTTGTGCGCGCCGCCTCACCACGCGGGGGGAAGGCGAAAAAAGGCGGGCGAGTTCGGTTCCGGTGCGCGTGCACGTGTGCCGGCCGCAGCCACCGCATCGGCCACGATTCTACCACCAGCTGCAGCGATCGAGTGGACAAGCAACGTCGCTAGGCTATCGGCCTCCCAGTGCGCGTGGACTCCTTCTTCGAAGCTTAACGGCGCACGCGACTTGCTTACTTTTACCACGAGAGTAAAGCAAAAGGCAGTGTCTTTGCTTCTCCAGGCTTCATTGTTATTGTCGTCGACTTCATCGTCGTCGTCGTTGTTGTTGTTGTTGCTGTTGTTGTTGTTGTTGTTATTGTTGTTGTTGTTGGTGGTGGTGGTAGTGGTAGTGGTCGTTGTTGTGCTACTACTGCTACTGCTGCTGCTGCTGCTGCTGCTGCTGCTGTTGGCAGCGGCGGGGGTTGCGTCGACTACGGGAAGTGGTGGTGAGCACTGGGTGACGAAGCCCAGCGAGCCGATTGTCGACCATTCACGGAAGCCCGTTTACCTCGAGGTACGTATATCGTTAACGATCGGCCAGCTCGGGGGATGATTGGGTTTCCGGTGGGAGGGTGGTGGAGCGGATATGGGCCCGAGTCGTCTTCTTCGATAACGACTCGATGCGTGCGTTTTTATTCCCTTCGATCGTCCGCTTTCGCGTGATCATCGGGTATCCCGGATATCGCCAATTGCCGGGAAAACCTGTAAAACTTGCTCTTTTTTAATGACTCGTGCCGCGTTATCGGGCCATTGTAGAGAAGACGAAGTAAGCCGAGTGAGAAGGTATGGGAATATATCAGTGCTTTTTACGACATCGACCACTTGTGTTTTTGTTTTTTTGCTTTTCTGCGCGGACGTTACGAAGGAATAAGTGAGACGCCGCGGTCGAGTTACATTATTGTCGAGTTAATTTAAGGAACGAATGATAGAAAGTTCATTGCTTCGGTATACTCTTATTATTTAATCAAGGACTATTAAATTTATCTTCTTCTCTCATGTAATTGTTAAATTGATAATGTTCTGTAGTGTGCATTTAATAAAGAAGTTTTGTGCTTTATGCAGAGGCTATTTTAAAACTTTTTCCTTTTCTTTATTTCTGTGCAGGGGTTTTCAATTATAAGCAAGCTCGAGAAGACAAAGGGTCAAGATGTTTGATGTGTTTGGCTCTGTGAAGGGCTTGTTGAAGCTCGACACAGTCTGCATCGACAATAATGTATTCAGATTACATTACAAAGCGACTTTTGTCATCCTTGTGGCTTTTTCGCTACTGGTCACCTCCAGACAGTACATCGGGGATCCCATTGACTGCATCGTAGACGAGATTCCACTGCACGTGATGGACACGTACTGCTGGATTTATTCGACCTTTACCATTCCTGATCGTAATGGCATCGTGGGTAAGGATATCGTCCAGCCTGGGGTAGCTTCACACGTAGAGGGCGAAGATGAGATTAAGTATCACAAATACTACCAGTGGGTCTGCTTCACTCTGTTCTTCCAAGCCATTCTCTTCTACATTCCTCGTTACCTGTGGAAGACCTGGGAAGGTGGCAGGATCAAGATGCTCATTATGGACATTAATTGTACCGTATTGAACGAGGAGTGTAAAAGCGACCGCAAGAAGCTGCTCGTTGACTACTTTGCCAACAATCTGCACTCGCAGAACTTCTATGCATTCCGCTTCTTCCTGTGCGAAGTCCTGAATTTTATAAACGTCGTTGGCCAGATTTATTTCATGGACTTCTTCCTCGACGGCGAGTTCACGACCTACGGCTCGGACGTCGTTAAATTCACGGAGATGGAGCCCGAGGAGAGGGTCGATCCCATGTCGCGGGTCTTCCCCAAGGTCACCAAGTGCACCTTCCATAAATATGGTGCGTCCGGCACGGTACAGAAATTTGACGGCTTGTGCGTGCTACCCCTTAACATCGTCAACGAGAAGATCTACGTGTTCCTCTGGTTCTGGTTTATTATCCTGTCGGTGCTGAGTGGTCTCAGCCTGGCGTATCGCGCGGCCGTCGTCGCTGGACCGAAGCTGCGTTTCATCCTCCTCCGGGCGCGATCACGCCTCTCGCCCAACGACGAGATCAAATACATCTCCAACAGGTGTCAAATCGGCGATTGGTTCATTCTCTATCAGCTTGGCAAGAATCTCGATCCCCTCATCTACAAACATCTCATAGCGGACCTGGCCAAGAAGCTCGAAGGCAAGGAACTTGTTTAAGGGAAGTCGCTACCCGGAGTCTGAATTCTGGATTCGTTCATTATTATTATTATAAAATACTTTTCATTTATTAACACGATGCGCGAACGAACGAATTAACGAACGTACGAACGTACGAACGTCGAATAATCGATCGATCAATCGATCGAAAGCAGGAAAGAAAGACAGAAAGAAAGAAAGAAAGAAAGAAAGAAAGAAAGAAAAAAAAATGTAAGAGCGAGCAATTGAACGATTGCTTAATTGAATTGCTACGGGCAAACTTGTTCGGATCAGAAATACAGAGAGAGAGAGAGAGAGAGAGAGAGAGAGAGAGAGAGAGAAAAGTGAGGGGGTAAGGCGATGATGGCAGGAGGGAGGGGGTGGGATGAGCAAGGACGAAAGAGAGTAAGCCTAGTAGTAAATTAGCTAAATTGTGATAGATCCGTTTTACTGCGTAACTTCGGCGCGTAGAATGAATTAAAGGATAGAAAAAATAGAAGAGAGATAAGACCTACGCGTTGAGAGTGGAGTTGCTGGAAATTAAGAGAGAATAGTTTGATCGTTTTAATGAAAAATTTTGCGGTACACAATAACGGAGCGAAATCTTTTCATTATAAATGCATATGCATGTGTATTTCTCACGTTGCTTAGCATGTTCATGATGGTTGCGTTGGAAGGGCGATAGAGGGGATTGGAAATCTCAGCAGAATTTTCATCTGAGTAGAGCAAGAGTGAAAGACAAGACAAGCAACAAGAGCGATAGTAGTAGTAGAAGTAATAGTAGTAGTAGCAGTAGTAGTAGTAGTAGTAGTAGTAGCAGCAGCAGCAGCAGCAGCAGCAGCAGTGGTTCCCCTCCAAACAGGCCAAACAGAAGATGTACGATGGAGAGAAAGGAAGGAGAAATCCCTTGTCTGGTTAGTTCATAAGTTCGCCAACAGACGGCGTTGCTAAAAGGGAACAACGTCAATTCCTGGATCCCTTCCCTTTTTCGCCCCTAGTTTACTCGCATTGCTTTTGTTTTCCATTGAACTCTACTTTTGTCGATGGCTCGGCCGATCGCCATCCTAATGCCCAATGCCCCCTCCCCCTCTCTCTTTTACATTCTATGTTCATACATTCACACGCACGCACACACAAAATCACTCACAGCATCCGTCTTTTGCTGTCCGATCGGTTTGCGCTCATTTATTATTCATCCTCGTTCCATCTACCGCGTCGGCGTTTTCTCTTTCTCTCTGTCATTCTGTCTCTCCTGTTCGGTCGTGAGAACGGGTGACCTGGCTAAGGGAGCCGCGAGGTCGGAGGCTTCATCGACTCTTAATTGTGTGATATGCGGAGGACGGCGTTTCGTCACGGTTTAGTCCGTGTATTTGATATTAAAGGAAAGAGAGGGAAGCAAAGAGATTTTTGCTTTTAAACGATGTTTTATGGTTTTAATAATTGTTGAAAAGTAATGTATAGGTTATCCCATTGAGTTTAAAATGCGTATTTGAATGTTTGAACATTTTATGCAAGGGCTGATGATACTGTTGTAATAATATGGAGCTTATTTGAAAAATAATTAACTAGTTGTCTAACATTTCACTGAATAATATTCAATGCTAATATATAATGTTTTCGAGCTGTGAAAGAAAGTTGTTACGAGTTAAATGTGAAAAACATATCTTTCGCAACGATTGGCAAACTTGATTCTTAACTTGGCCTCTCTCGAATAATTTTATAAGTTCTCTTCGCGAAGCTCAAGTTCTTCTATCCACCTTCGCTCGTTAATTCACAATTTTTTTCATTAATTTTCTCCTGCTTTCTTATGCATTTTAGTTCATATATACATTTTATTATGAATTATTACGCTGTCGCTTCTAAATTCCGGTAAATAAAGGAATAAAGGAATGCAAGAATTTATGTTACATTTTACGCTAATCGTTGCACACAATGTGCGTTAAATATGTAAATTCGTGCCTTGGGAAGGCTGAGAAAATCTTTCCTTCTCTTTAATTAATTAGCCAACTGTAATTAATATTCATTATAAAAACAAACCGGCGTGATCGGTTAAGATACATTGTTTTAATTAATTCAATAAAGTATCTGACGGCTAGGTGATTAAAAATACATACGACTGCATAATTATTATAAAAATTGTACTTGACTATCTGATCGGCTTGACAAGGAGTCGACAGTTCTTTGAATTTAAGGCGAAAAGTTCGGGAATTCTCTGCAATCGATATTCTTCGCACTTAGTCGTGAAAAAGCTTAATTATTAAGGGAACATTCGTTGTTTATCATTGAAGAAATGGGGACGTAAAAAACGCGTAACGACGCCTTCAGATAGTCGAGCAAGCAAAGTACGAAACACTCAAAGGCGACGCGATACAACTTCCGGTCTGCCCTAGTGCCTATTTTAAGAGAGGTTTTTGCTCCATTCGATAAGAGACGCGAAGACCCTCTTTGCGTTGCTTGAAATACGAGTGTCTTTTTAACCCTACGCGTGTCTTGTGCGCCATTTTAATTATTTCTTCAGCCCCCAAGTTTGTCTCTCGTATTACTGCAGAGAAGCCAATGGCATTTACATTATTGCGTTTGGCATTCGTGAACTTCCTTGTTATAACTTAGATTTTCTCTTATTGTTTAGCAAATTGTTGCTCTTATTTCCGATGAATTTTTCGATGACGAATGTTACTATCAGAAATAGTGGGAGGAAAGTTTGCTAATGGGTTTTATAAAATGCCGATGTTATTTGCAAAAATAAAAATTCAATGATAGTTTCAGCAAAATATCCTTATTCCATGATTTTCCAATCAGATTGTTAATTTATTTGTGGTTAATTTATTAATTATGCTACATATTAACGTGATTCATTAAAAATTCATTAAAAATCAATTGATACGAAAGAATAGAGATCACCGGAAGATGGATAGTTGAGATTCGAAAAAGGAAAGAACGTTAAAAGACGAAACGCCGTCCTTCCAGTAGCGTAAACTCTTATCCTATCAGTTTATAAATCTTAATTATTTCTTTCTTCTCTATCCTTTATGCATAGTACATAGTCGACAAATAAAAGTGTAACACTTAGGAAAGGATATTTTATATATTATATAAATAATTATATATAACTGCGTGTAGATATATGTTTCTTTTTTTTTTTCTTAAAGAAAGCTAATTTCTTTCGCATTTTCCAGCTGTATGAGTAAATTTAAAAAATGACTAAAATATTTGTATGGTAACGAGGGACCAATTATTCCAGGACTGCCACAAAAAAGTTTTGTTTTTTTTTTTATTTTTCTTTAAATGCGTTTCTTGTTCAATGTGGTGAACATCCATTAACATCGCAAAGAGCTAATGCACAACTTTTTTAATGATACTTTCAAAAAAACAAAAAAAAAAACAAAAAAACAAAAAAAAAAACAAAAAAAACCGAAAAAACAAAAAAAAATGAAAAGCGTAAAAGTTATCTTGCTGTTAAATAATCGAATGTATTAAAAATTTAATAGTACACAGCTTAATTAATATCATCGGATCCGTTTTCTTTAAAGTATTTTCCAAAATTGTGCCAACAGAAAATACTTCAAAAGTGCAATTTTTTCGAACGCGTTTCTACGCATCGAACAAAACTTGTTCAAATGCCTTTGTAATACTTCCGAGCATATATGTATATGTATGTGCATATATATATATATATATATATGTGCACATAAAAATATGAAGTTATGCGACGACGCATACATTCTTATTTTGTAACCGTCGTGTGAGCCGAAAAAGACAAAACGCTGACTAACGGCGTACGTCTTCTACTTTTCGTTTATTTACTACTACTTTTTATTCTTAGATGAAAATTTATAATTATTGATTATTATTATTGATCGATTATTATTATTATTATTATTATTATTATTATTATTATTATTATTATATGTAATAATTTCTATTACTTAGACTTTTATATGTGTTATTCTTCACTTTTCAATCTTCCACACTGCAAAAAATAACTACATTTTAAAAAAATTTACTTGATTAACCACAAATATACATTTACATTGTAAGCTATTGTTGACGTTGTTAAGTGAATTTTTTTAATAATTAGAACTTTAATACAGTGCAGCTATATTTCATATGACAACAATAATATAAAATATTATTACAATACTTCAAATATTATACATAATTCGTTATAATTATGGGGCCAGCGTATGCATGTGTGAACGATATAGGGCGTTTAATTGTATTTGTAAGTTGAGAAATTATTTTTGATTATTAAAGTGCTCAATATAAAGACTGCCAAGGTAACGTGAGACAATAATATTCAGAGCGCGTTACGAGCTTCGTCTGCGTTTCTTCATCTCAAATTTGATAAAAAGTATACATATCATACTTTATTTCCAAAGTGTACGAAATTTATCTTTTTTTTTTGTTTGTTTTTTTTTTTTTTTATAAATATTTATAATTATTTATAAAAATCTCTGGACAATACTTTACATATCTTTTCTTTTTCCCATAATTTTATGTATATTTTTCAAATATTTGTAATTAAAAAAAAAAATACGTATATTAAGTGAAACATTTGTGCGTATTCCCTAAAATAAATAGCTCTATCAAGAATATAAGTAAACAGGTATCATCAAAATTTCAATATATCGTGAATTATTTTTATAAAATTTTCAGATTATAATATAACTGCAATCTAATGCAATTGTCAATTAGGAAATATAAGAAATTGGAGTAAACGAAATTTCTTGTCAAATTAAGGTATTGTATTGATTTCTATATGTTCTCAAAAAAAAAAAAAAAAAAAAAAAAACAGTTTAAATATTTATGTAACGTCTTATTAAAGCCAATCTTTATTTCAAACTCTAACAACTACAATACAAACAACGATTGTTATTTTATTGACTTGTTGCAAAAATAGTAAGACGATACAGTTAACAGGGACATTTCGTCATTACTATCACCATCATATGCATAGGTAAATATTAGTAATAATGTGTAATTGCAGTCGTAGCTCCTACGGGGGGCGATTCGAGCCATTATAGGAGACGTCATGAGAATTTTAAACGAGCAATAATAAAATTAACCCACAAAAATCACTGAATATTCATTAGTAATTACGATTTTGGCACTCTCGAATTTTCTCTTTCTCTTTCTCAGATTGAATTCACACCGATTATTATATCGCGACATATCGCAAACATATCGCAAAATTTGTATACAAATACATATCGTAATGTGAAATACTTTTTTTTTTTATTTTTTATTAGGGAATATAATTTTTATGGATTACCATTGAAAAGATTATATAATAAGTATTGAAGATATCGTCACCCGTATCTGTTTCAATTTACGAAGTAAAATTTACA